ATAGTCCCACTTGTTCATTTTTCATTTTGTTTCCCTCTTCTAAGGAGGTGTGTCCAGGAAAAAACTGCTCGTGCTTATGTTCAAGAGACTTTTGCCTGTATTTATGCTTTCATGTGTTACATTCAGGTTATTGATCCATTTTGAGTTTACTTTTGTGTATGGAGTTAGACAATAATCCAATTTCATTCTCTTATACGTAGCTGTCCAGTTTTGCCAGTACCAGTTATTGAAGAGACTGTCTTTTTCCCATTGTGTTTTCATGGCTCCCTTATCATATATTAATTGACCATATATGTGTGGGCTTATATTTGAGCTCTCTATTCTGTTTCATTGATCTGTGGGTGTGGTTTTTTGCCAGTACCATATTGTTTTGACTACTGTAGCTTTGTAGTAGAGCTTAAAGTTAGGGAGAGTAATCCCCCCAGCTTTGTTCTTCTTTCTCAGGATTGCTTTGGTTATTAACCAGTGTTCTATATGAATTTTAGGATTATTTGCTCTAGTTCATTGAAAACTGCCATTGGTATTTTGATAGGAATTGCATTGAATCTGTAAATTGCTTTGGGCAGTTTGACCATTTTGTCAATATTAATTCTTCCTATCCATGAGCACAGGGATTTTCCTTTATTGGTGTTTTCTTTAATTTCTCTCATGAGTGTTCTATAGTTTTCAGAGTACAGGTCTTTCACCTCCTTGGTTAGGCTTATTCCTAGGTATATCATTATTTTGATGCATTTGTAAATGGAATGATTTTCCTGATTTCTCTTTCTGCTAGTTCATTGTTAGTATGTAGGAATTGAGCAGTTTTCTGTGTGTTAATTTTGTGTCCTACAACCTTGCTGAATCCAGTTATTAGTTCTAATAGTTTTTTGGTGGAGTCTTTAGGGTTTTTTTATATATAGTATCAGAGCATTTGTAAATAGTGACATTATACTCTTTCCTTACCAATTTGGATGCCTTTTATCTCTTTGTGTTGTCTGATTGCCACGGCTAGGACCTCCAGTACTATGTTGAATAAAAGTGGTGTGAAAGTGGACATCCTTGTCTTGTTCCTGATCTTAGCAGAAAAGCTTTCAGCTTTTTGCCATTGAGTATGATGTTAGTTGTGGGTTTGTCATATATGGCTTTTATGTTGAGGTATGTTCCCTCTGTACCAATTTTGTTGAAAGTTTTTTATCAAGAATGGATATTGAATTTTTGTCAAATGCTTTTTCAGCATCTGCTAAGATGATCATATGCTTTTCATCCTTCTTTTTCTTAATGTGGTGTATCATAATGATTGATTCATGAATATTGTACCATTGCATCCCAGTATAAATCCTACTCGGTCATGATGGATGATCCTTGTAATGTATTTTTTAATTCAGTTTGCTAATATTTTGTTGAGGATTTTTGTGTCTATGTTTATCAGGGATAATGGTCTATAATTTTCTTTTTTGGTAGTGTTTCTTTCTGGTTTTGGTATTAGAGAGGTGCTGGCCTCATAGAATGAGTTTGGAAGTATTCTCTCCTCCTCTACCTTTTGGAATTCTTTAAGAAAGATGGGTTTAGCTCTTTTTTAAGTGTTTGGTAGAACTCAGCTTCAAAGCTATCTGGTCCTGGACTTTTGTTTTGGGGTTTTTTTAAATTACCAGTTCAATTTCATTACTGGTAATTGGTCTGTTCAGATTTTCTTTTTCTTCCTGGGTCAGTCTTGGAAGGTTGTACTTTTCTAGGAATTTATCCATTTCTTGTAGGTTGTCCAATTTATAGGCATTTTTCACAGAATTTTATAATAGTTCTTTGTATTTCTGTGGTGTCAGTTATAAATCTTCCTTTTTCATTTCTGATTCTGTTTGTCTCCTCTCTCTTTTTTTCTTGGTAAGTCTGGGTAGGGTTTTGTCTATTTTCTTTATCTTCTTTAAGAACCAGCTCTTGATTTCATTGATTTATTTCTATTGTTTTATTCTTCTCTATTTTATTTATTTCTGCTCTGATCTTTACTATGTCCCTCCTGCTAGTAACTTTGGGTTTCATTTGTTCTTTTTTTCTAGTTTCTTTTGTTGTGAGTTTAGACTGTTTACTTGCTATTGTTCTTGTTTCTTGAGGTAAGCCTGTATTGCTGTGTACTTCCCTCTTAGAACCTCTTTTGCAGCATCCCATATATTTTGTACTTTTGTATTTTTGTTTTCATTTGTCTCCATGTATTGCTTGATTTCCTGTTGGATTTGTTCATTGATCCATTGATTATTTAGAAGCATGTTGTTTAGCCTCCATTGTGATCTATAAAGATGCTTGATACAATTTCAATCTTTTTAATTTATTGAGGCCCTTTCTGCATCCTAATATGTGATGTATTCTGAGAAGCATTACATGTGCACTTGAGTAAAGTGTGTGTCCTGTTGCTTTTCAGTGGAATTCACCAATGTGTCTTCAAAATTCTGCACCTTTCTCTTTCTCTTCTTCTGGGACTTTCATTATGCATATATTGGTATGTGTGGTGGTGTTCTACAGGTCTCTGAGGCTTTGTTCATGTTCATTTTTCTTTTTTGCTTTTCCTCAGTCTGGATAATCTCAATTGACCTGTAATAAAATATGTTGAGTCTTTCTTCCATCTGTTTATCTCTGCTGTTGAGCTCCTGTAGTGAATTTAAATTCTGGTGGCTGTCCTTCTCAACTGCAGAATTTCTATTTGGTTCTTTTTTTTTGCATTACATGTGCACTTGAGTAAAGTGTGTGTCCTGTTGCTTTTCAGTGGAATTCACCAATGTGTCTTCAAAATTCTGCACCTTTCTCTTTCTCTTCTTCTGGGACTTTCATTATGCATATATTGGTATGTGTGGTGGTGTTCTACAGGTCTCTGAGGCTTTGTTCATGTTCATTTTTCTTTTTTGCTTTTCCTCAGTCTGGATAATCTCAATTGACCTGTAATAAAATATGTTGAGTCTTTCTTCCATCTGTTTATCTCTGCTGTTGAGCTCCTGTAGTGAATTTAAATTCTGGTGGCTGTCCTTCTCAACTGCAGAATTTCTATTTGGTTCTTTTTTTTTCCAATAATTTCTATATCTTTATCAGTAGTGTCTATTTAGATATTATTTTCACACTTTCCTTCAGTTCTGTAGACATGATTTCTTTTAGTTCTTTCAACATATTTAAAATAGGTATGTCTAGTAAGCCTAATATCTGGGCTTCCTCAGGGACAGTTTCTATTGACTACTTTTTTTTCCTGTGTATGGGCATACTCTCTTGTTTCTTTTCATGTCTCACATCTTGTACAGAGGTTCAAGGTAAGACAAGTGAGAGCTGAGGCCCTTCTCAGAACTTTTCCTGAGCATACCCACAGACCTGGGCATGCAGGTGGCCATCTAAATTTCCAGAAATATGTTGGAGCCTTTCAAAGCTCCCTGTGGACATCTCATTCACCAGTTTTTCCTTTTATGTTATTTTGGTTAGGCTATTGCTTGCCTATTATTCATACCACCTTAGGCAGGCTTGATCTTAAACAGTTGCGTCTAATTATTTTCAACAAATGCTGCTAGGGAAAAGGCTATTTGAACTGTGTCAGGTCAAATAAAGACAGTCTTGTGAGTCCAGTCTTCCACCAGTCAGGCCACATAATGACAATTCTGTAGGAGTGGGGCTTTGAAGGAATTCTCTTTTTCTACTCTTTCCAGTTGCTGTTAGACTGCTGGTTTATAGGCTGGGGGGTATAGGCTATTGGTTTGCAAGGTTATTGCAAACCTGAGGAGAAGGAAATGGGAATAGGGCAACTTAGAAGACCATAGGCATGCTGTTCTTACCAAAAGTCAGTTGTTTTATTTGAATAAAATGTTTCCCAGATTGCTATAGGCCTTTGGTTAATTTCCGGAGTTCTGAAAGTTTAGTCTAGAGATGTTTTCCAGTGTTAGTGTTTCTTTTGTGGAGCAGAGAATTTTGAGAGGGCCTTATTCCACCATTTTCTCTGACATTCTTGTTCATTTGTTTTTAATTTCAAGATAGTTTCTTTCATTTTGGAAATAGAGGAGATGGTATATTTGAAGAAAAGCAAGACCTGGATTATTTTTCAGCTGTATGACATTTTCTTTCTTAAAATTTGGGCCTCAGTTTTTCCATCTGCAGTAAAAGGGTGCAGATATAGCTCCCATCTGCTCTTCAAGGCTTTGTGAACTAAATACTATTATATATGTGAAGATGCTTTGGTCCCATTTGAAGAAAAGCACTTAACTTCCTCAGTGCTTCCTGATTGTTACTTCCAGTTCCAATTGCTTCTATTTTTCTACATCCTCCTCTTTTTGAGGAAACAATGCTTATTCTCCCCATAAACATGCCAGTAATTTTAAATTGCTTTAAATTTAAAATTATTTGAAGGTGTTCAGGAAAAACCACTGTTTTTATTTGCAATTTGACTGGAAATTATGATTATTTTACACATGTACAGTATATTTTAATGTAATCCTGAATGTAATTATTAGAAGATTTTATATATTACAAATAATACTAGAAATATTTTGAAATCTCTAATTGTCCTTTGTAGGCACACCCCTCTCTCTCTTTTACTCTTTTGTCGAGGACTTCTGTAGCTCCATTAAATCCAAGCTTCTTTTTGAAAAGTGGTTGGTACTCACAGCTCTTACAAAAACTGTTTTGTGACTATTATGGGGTATGTGGGGGGGACTTGATAATAGGGGGAGTCTAGTAACTATAATGTTGTTCAAGTAATTGTACATTAACAATATTAAAATAATAAAATAAACTGTGTTAAAATATAAATACCATAAAATCTGCCATTTTAATTGTGTTTAGATGTATAGTTCAGCAACATTTTATATTTACATAGTTGTGCAATATATGCATCTTTTTTCTTAAAATATAGACCCCATTGTTTCTGGACAACATTTGCTTTGTGAACCCCATTGTTGTTAAAATTAAATAGTATGGACTGTGCTGTTTTTCACTTATTCACTTTGTACGAAGCTGTTGTTCATGCACAATATGTTTAACTCACATCTCTCTTGGTGTTGCAGGTTGCAGTGCAGGCAGGAATTAACTTGGGGCCAGAGATGTCAAGAGGACTATATCAACCAGCCACAATCTTTATGGGCTGCCAAATGTCAGCCATCTCAAGCACTGTAGATTCCAGTACAGAGCAGAAATCTCCCCAGCCCACAAAGAACTTTTCAATTCCCAACTCACATGCACACCGACAGACAGCCCAGGCCAGTAATATGACAGACAGCTATGTAATACAAACTAATAGTGACACACAGTGCTTACATACGTCTGACAAAATAGATGGAAAGTTATCTCTTCAGACTGGCGAGAAGACGCCAGTCTCAGCTAGCACATGGTCTGAGGGGGGACAAACTCATTGCCTGGAGATAGGAGGCAACACACGCAACACACGTCCTGGCAAGAGGAGTTTATCTGAAGGCAAAAAGTCTGCTGAACTCCATTCCCCATTACAGGAAATATTAAGTCCAGAGAACAGAACCACTGATTTAAAATGTGACAGTTCCAGAAGATCAGAAGGATCAGTGGAAGAAATACTGACACAGGAACATACTGAAGTCAAGGAAGAAAGATCTAGACCACCAGTCTCTCCCATATCAGTGTCAGAATGTTGTGCATCTGAAAGTAAGTGTTCTTGAGAGAAGAATTCTGCTTGGGAATGTTTCTTAGGTGGGGTGAGAGGCTGAAATTATTTGCTGATTTTTGTTGGTATTTAAAATAGTTTTATGCATGGTAGTGGTCTTCTGTAGGAAGAAAATATACTCTCTAGTTTTATCTCTTTGTCAAAAAAGCAAAGTAGTGACTTTGCCAACAAATTCCATTCTAATGAGTTCTTAAATATGTACATGGAAATATTTTGGCAAACAAATTCTCTGATTTTGAAACCCACAGTAACATTTTAAAAATACTTTTGATAAGTTTTTAAGTATTGTAATTTCTGTGGATTGTTTCTATGTGCTTTTAGCTCTGTGAGATAGAAAATCTTACCTCACTTCTCCCTAAAGTTAGTGATCAGTAATCTATTCACATCTCCTCTTATAGATCATCTTCCTTATTGGGACCCAAAGTCACAGAAACCCTTCAGAAAAATTCATGGGGAGCAGGAAAAGGAAAGTTTGAGCAGCAGCAGTGACCTCACAGTTTCTGTAAGTGAAGATGATCTGATTTTAAGGAGTCCGGAACCACAGCCAAATCCGAGTGACAAGATGGAGGGAGAAGATGGAATAGAGGCCTTAAAATTAATCCACTCTGAGCAAGAAGGAGCTACCCTACTCACTGAAAAACATAATTGTATTTTGCAAACCCTAAGCTCTCCTGATACAAAAAAGGAATCCTCCACTAACTCACCAATAAGAAAGTAAGCCATTCAATTTTTTCTTCCTGTTCTCTTTTTAATTATATACATTTTTAGCAACCATTCCACTGGGAATGTATTACTGAACACTCAGCCATGAATGTGTCAGTTCCTAAAGTCTCATATATAGTCTTTTGGATAAGGTCAAATTTTCTTTCTTTTCTTTTTCTTACAAAACAGCTTTAAAAGTCTGAATGTCATTGAATCATGGTGATTGGCAGTTTATAATTATATCCAAACAATCCATGGTTAATTCATAAATCATTTCTTCACCTACTACTCTCCAGCCTTTAGAAAATAAATAATTTTGAAGTTGTGGTAGCAAAGAAGGTGACAAACAGTTTAACTTACTAGGAATTCAGCTTCAGAGACTAGGAATTCTATATCTAAATAATTTGCTAATCCTTATATACCTTGCCATAGTTTCATTTTTGTCTTACAAATATATATGAGTTAATAAGTTCTTCTAAGTGTGTATCTAAGCCAGTTTTCCTTTTCTGAATGTAAATATGAGGACATTGGAATCTTTAAAGTTATATAGGAACATCAGTGTTATACATTTTGAGTACTTATCATATGCCACTCGTAAAAGCTAACATGATTTCTTACTATTTGTTAGAGATAGTAGGCAAGCCTATGTAGGAACTACTTCTGCAACAGAAAATAATGCTGCTGGCACTATGTCTCTTCTCGGGGTAGAAAGAACCTAAGGTAGATCCCACCTTTTAAAGATTAGGAAACACACACAGGCTACTGGGCAGATTCTCTGGACAGCCTTCCTCTCCAACTTCCATGCTAACCCTGGAACTTGCTTTTGCACTGTGATGTAACACTTCTTTGGACAAGCCCCGTAAGAGTGAAGAGCCAAGTGAGCATTCTTGTCTGAGGGTGTATGTCTCTTTTAGAGCAACGTTGTACCTTTAAGACATTTCGTCTTACCATTCATTATCAACTTTTGGCAGAAAGGTTAATTTGTAGTCTGATTGACTCCAAACTGATGTTCAAGAAATACTTAAGAGCAAAGTACTTGCGCTGTGGCTGGAGAAACCCAACAATTGTTTCCTTCCCTTGGGAAATTTGACTTATTGCAGAGGCAAGCCAAATGGATTTTTCTAGTAATAATACTTCTCTCTCACCAAAGAGGTACAGGTATTACATACTACATCATCAGAAACTTTATTATTGAAGACAGGTTTACCATATATTCGGTTTTGTGTATGCAGGCTTCTTTGTGTAGAAGTTCATTGGACAAGTCAGTACTTTGGTAAGCTAATTGGGGGATGAGTGTACTGATGCAGGACTCAGTCTTCTGAGATAAAAGAAGTTAAGTATGTGTGCAGAACTAAGAATGTTCTATCTTCTGTTCTTGTATATGAATGACTTCCTGTGACCTTAAAGCCAACCTCCTTAGAATTTTTGGATATACCTTTCCAAAATTTATTGGAAAATATGGGCATTTGGGAAATTTTAAAATATGTGCCTTAAAAGAATGCCCCAGAATGAAAGGTCAGTCGGCAGTGCTTGTTTTTTGTGTCTGTGCTCTCATGCTTGAGCCTGTTGATTTTCTGTGGTGAAAGTGCTCCCCAGGAACAGGTTGAAGGTGGTTTTAAGTGATGCTGCTTAACCTGCTGACATCCCCACTGCTTTTGAGGCCCTGCTTCCTTTTATTTATTCTTTAGCATGAGCTCCTCTTTACTCTGAGGGCCAATTATTAACCTGAGGCTATAACATCATATTTAGAGCTAACGCTGTGACCTCAAAGGTTCATTATCTTGGTTTGCTTTAGGGTCTTTTGGAGGTCCTGGAAAAAAGTCACTTCAGTGAATTTCAGTTAACAAAGATGAAGATGTGGGACAAAGAAAAACACAGAGGAAGATATGAAGGAGAATGGAAGCTCTGATTTGATGATGGTGACAGTGAGGATGATAGCTATCATGTTTTAGCACCTCTATGTGCAAAACAAGTTGCCAGACTTGCACATAACACTTGGTCTTAAGAGTCCTGGCAGGAAAAGTGAAAAGAGAAGTGCAGTATGGTGGATAGTTTCCATCTGAAGAGAAAAATGAAGCCAATGGTTACTTTTTATGTTTTTTTTTTTATTTTGTTTAAAAAAACTTTTTTAACAACTTTATTGAAATGTAGTTCACATACCATACAATACACCTATTTAAAGTATGCAATTCAATGGTTTGTGGTATAATTTACATATATAAATCACAATATTTTATATATATATAATACAATATTTTATGTTAACATAAAATCTGCCATTTTTAAGCATGATTTAGTGACATAATTACATTCATAGTATTGTGCAACTATCACTACTATTTCCAAAAGCTTTTCATCATCGCAAATATAAACTCTCTAACCATTAAGCAATAACCCTCCATTCTTCCCTTCCCCCAGTCCCAAGTAAGAGAGAGGGAAAGGGGTCTGAAGGAAATTAGGTCTGGAGGAAGAGTGCTAAAGGAATGCAGACGCAGAGAACCCAGAGGGCCTGGGAGGGCAGAGCAGAGGGTCAGACCGAGGGTCCTTGAGGAGGACTTGTTGGGGTAAAGGTTTAAAATGCTGCCTAGGGCACAGTTGAGAAAGGCCTTGAATATCATGTATAGTGACTTCAGGTTAATGAATTCATTCAGGTTAATGAATTTAGGGTTCGTTCTCAATTTGCAGAACTGTTGAAGGTTATTTTAAGAGAAGGGTAATGTAAGAGAATGGTGAGTAACTTGATTTATAAGAATTAATCTGACATGATTAGTTTCATCAGAAACCAATTCTGGTGGGCAGAATTCCGAGATGGGCCTGAGAGTCCTACCCCCCAGTGTACACTCTGTACAATTCCCTCACCTTAAGTGCGGACAGAGTTGGGTTTCCCTCCTGTGATTAGTCTACGTTACTGATGAGATGAGGGATTTTGCAGATATAATGAAAGTCCCAAATCGGTTGACTTTCAGCTAATCAAAGGGAATTATCCAGAGGAGGTCTAACCTAAATAGATCTTCTTTTAAAAGGGTCAGAGCCATTACTGAAGTCAGAGATATTCAAAGCAGCTGATATACTCCCCTGGTCACCCTGAAGAAGCAAATTGCCACCATGTAGAAAAGGTTGCATGGCAGGAAATGGTGTGCAGCCTCTAGAAGCTGAGATCCTCAGTCCTGTAATCACAAGAAGTGATTTTCCCAACAACCTTTGAGCTTGAAAGAGGACCAAGAGCCTTAGATGAGATGCAGCCCTGCTGATACCTTGGTTTCAGCTTGGTGAGACTCTGAGAAGAGGACCCCACTAACCCATACCTGGACTCCTTACCCATGGGAACTGTGAGATAAATTTGTGTCAAGTGCTAAATTTGTGGTAATTTTTAATGCAGCAGTAGAAAATTAAAACAATCCAATTGAAGAATTGCAATCAAGGATTGTATTTTTTCATGGACTGTATGGGTAGAAGTCACTATATATGGTGACCCAAACCAAGCTGAATCAGATGTGTTCAGGGTTCAGTGTGGGAACACATGGTGACAAGGTGGCAAAGTGAGCAGCCCAACAGGCAAGGTAACTGTGCCTTCCCTTTCCCTATTACCTCAGCATCTGAGCAAATTCATTTTCATACATGACCACATGCACGTAAATAGGGATGGAATGTGGTAAACCTGTAGGCACGTAGAAAAGTGAGTATGCACAGCTGCATTAACCAACCAGCAGTTTCTCATGCAAACATGATTTCTCTAGTTCCTTCTTTAGTAATGATGTAAGGTATTGAGGGATTTTTTGGTTTTGTTTTTTATGATGCCTAATCTCATATATTCACCTTTACAATATCATACATAATAGTTTTACTGCCTAAAAATTCCCTGTGCTCCATCTACTCATCTCTCTCTCCTCCCCTGCACCTGAACCCCTGGTAACTACCAATCTTTTTATTGTTTCTATAGTTTTTCCTTTTCTAGAATGTCATGTACTTGGAATCATACAGTATGTAGCCTTTTCAGATTGGCTTCTTTCACTAAGCAGTATGCATTATAGATGCCTTCCTGCTTTTTCATAGCTTGATAGCTCATTTCCTTTTACTGCTGAATGTTTCATTATCTGAATATATCACAGTTTATTTGTCCATTTACCTATTGAAGGACATCTTTGTGGTTTTCACATTTTGGTAATATGAATAAAGCTGCCATAGACGTGTCTGCTTAGGGTTTTGTGTGGGTTTAAGTTTTCAATTCATTTGGGTATAGACTGAAGAGTGCAGTTGCTGGATTGTGTGGTAAGACTGTTTAGCCAAGGAAGTGCCAAACTGTCTTCCAAAGTGCTGTACCATTTTTGCATTTGTACTAGCAGTGAGTGAAAGTTCTTGTTTTTCCACATCCTTGTTTATACTTGGTATTTTTATATTTTTGGATTTTAACCATTCTAATACGTATGTAATGGTATCTTGTTTTAATTTGCATTTTCCTAATGACATATGATCTTGAGTATCTTTTCATATACTTATTTACCATTTGTATATTTTCTTTGGTTAGGTGTCTGTTCAGATCTTTTGTTCATTTTTTTAATTGGGTTTTTAATTTTCTTATCATTGAATTTTAAGAGCTCTTTGTATATTTTGGATACAAGTCCTTTATCATGGGGATATTGTGCTTTGCAAATATTTTTTCCTAGGGTTTGGTTTATCTTTACATTCTCTTGTCAGAATCTTTCTCAGCAGAAATTTTTTTCTTTCTTTCTTTCTTTAAGCCACTCCTAGGGTGGCCAGCCCCAGTGGTGAGTGCCATCTTGCCACTACTGCTAAGCCAAGCCACTATCTCGAGGGCCCCAGGAGATTTTTTAGTTTAATAAGGTCTGCCTTATATATTTTGTTCTTTCTTTATGCCGTTGGCATTATATCTAAAAACTCATCACTAAATACAAGGTCACTTAGGTTTTCTATGTTTTTTTTCTAGAAATATTAGAGTTTTGCAGTTTACATTTATATCTGTAATCCAGTTTGAGTTAATTTTTGTGGAAGGT